GGGTCCCTATGTCCTCCAGCAGTCTAAGCCTATATCAGCAGAACTATAGAGATTTATCAGGGTAACCTGATTCTCTCTAACTAGAAGCTTTATCAAAAAGGAAAGTTTCAAGCCTAGCCTTAAAAGTTGAAAGTAGATGATCTGGTGAACTGTAAAGTGCCCTAAGATGACATGTGTTGTGAATTGGTGCTAAAGAAGTCAACCAGAACCCAGAGCTACTTCTTTTCTCAATTTGCAGTGTTTTGGCTTTGCATTTGTGTATTAGCACCATGCATGTTTTGGTGGGTTTTCTATTTGCAGTTTCTGTTTAAAAGTGATGAAATAATGTATATTTTTTTATAACGAAATACCCTAAAATATCCAAATTATCCTCAGTGTATGTATAATCCTTGCTCACTGTTAAGCTGGATTTAGTCCTGACTCCTGCGCTCAAACTCAACTTTCTTTTATTGTTGTGTCCTTGTTTCTAGTTGGGGAACCCAAGGTGACTTCACAACCACCCAGCCTTTACCTGCTGTGAAAGTAAAGCTGTTCACTGAAAGCACTGGAGTGTTGGCATTGGAAGACAAGGAGCTAGGAAGGGTCTGAGACCAATATATTTAACTAATGCATTCATTTGTTCTCTAACAGGGGAAACTAATGCAATGAATGTTTTTCCAGGTGGTGCTTCATCCGACTCCCAACAGTCCCAAACAGTGTGAGCTCCATAAAATGACAGTTTCTAAAGGCTGCCCTGATGACCTCAAGATAAAACTAGCAATCCGCATGGATAAGCCACAGAACATGAAGCATTGTGGGTAAGTTAAAGTGTTGTTTTAGGCTGATGACCTTAAAAAGTACAATAAAATCTATAGATTTGTAATATTTATGCAAATTTCATTCAAGGTATGTTTTGGAGATGCACTACAGAGTTCAACTAGTGTCTATATGTTTATCCAGTTTCGTTTCATACAAATTTTAGTACGTCTTTCGCTGTAGATGGTAAGGGTGTTTGTTGCTGGCAAAAGGTGCATCACATGTCTTCTGATGTCTTAAATAATATTTTGAAAATAATTGGGGGTCAACTAGGTAAAAAAAAAATAATAATTCTATTTCTATGTATTTCTACTATTTTTTTTCTTTTATTTTTTTTTACTTATACATTTATAACAGAAATTAGAAGAAAGATACCCCTGAGCGGAGCAGAGACTCCTTCATCTCTATCTCTGATACACTAGCGGCCTGGGACTTTGTTGAGGATCTTAGTATCATATTTGGACTGATGCTACAGGCACTTTTCT